CTTCTATTTTATTTTAAAAAGTTTTTGAAATTTGTTGTTGTTTATACAATGTAACTGAAAATAATCAACTGATTTGGATGAAATGTGTTGGAGAGGTGGGGTATGGCTCATCGGAGAGTTGGTGATTAGATTTTGGTGCTGATCCCTCTCATAAATTGGATGCATGAATTTAAAGATTCCTTACTATTGTGAGAGCCAGAAAGGTTCCTGACTGTATGTGGCCAAAGAGGCCGACTACACTGCTGAGCACTGAGCACATATGGAGACAAAGCCCTGGGTCAGTGACAGCTGCCTATTCATTGTCATTGGAAACCAAGTGCTGTGTGAGACAGGGACTGAAGGAGCCTGGCAAGGTGACAGCAAACAGTTGGGCAGAGATTTACTCTATACAGCGACAGCCGGGCAAGAGGCTGATGGCAAAGACCAGGCACAAGGTTACACACATATCCGAGCACACACATATATTCATTCTCACATTCATATACATGCATGGCTGTGTATGTATGCATGTATATGCATGACATTATGTATATATGTGCAAGTATTCAGTTTATGGTTATAAGGTTTCTCATACACTAGCTGTGGTGTACTTTCTCTACAACCGTTAAACCTGTGCTTGTGCTTAAAAACTTTGAGAGACTGCTCATGTGTCATATAGACAAGAGATCCTGCAATGAGAGGTAGCAATAAAAGATAGATCCGGGTATTTAGTTCAAGCTGTTCACACGGTCTAAACAGCAAGTTCATGACTGTTTTTGTTGGTCTGTACAAGTCAGATGTTGCAAAACTGACAAGTAACATAACAGGCTCATAGTTTTTAGACCAGAGGTAAAGTCAGTCAAACAGTAAAGATGCACTTATAAAAATAAAGGCCCAGATGGGATTTAGAATACATAAACTCAGTCCAGTGGCATTTTTTGCTGGCATGAGTTGCTGAAGCACATTGTTCCGAGATCAGTGACACAACAAACCCTGGAGCTCCAGGGGCCACTCATTCAGCTTAAAAACAGTGTTAGCCCAGGTCTGAGTGGGCGTCACATCAACAGAGGTAAGCATGAGACACACACTCAGACACAACCTAGACGTCATGTTCTCTTTGCTCACTGCATAATGCCAATTGTACCTTTAACATATTATTGTCTACATTATAAGTTCTGAACCCAGCGACCATCTGACATGATTCAAACTCCTCAGTTCTTCATTTGATTAGAATGTAGATGATATTTATATTTTATGAAACACTTTCTGCACAAATAATCTTTATCATATACAGTATGTGTTATGTTTAGTTGAAAGTGAGTACCTTTGAATCCATCCTGGAAAAATGAAGATGATCAAATCAAATTAGTTTTAAAGGCAAACACATTAAGTTCTGAAAATAGCAGTCACATCTTCTACTGCAAAACCAAGTGGTTTGAAGTAATTCAGTTTAGATGAGATATAACCAGGCTTTCATAGGTTTCTGGACTTAAAGCTACACAGCAGAGATTTCCAACCATGTTCCACTGAAACTCATGTCTGAAGTTTTTATTTTTTTAAATGGGGGCTGTTTGTGTCCTTTGCTCCTAAATCATCAAACCACATTGCTGCCTCCGTTTGTCACCAAGACATGTGTGTTTTGTGCAGCTTATGTGAAAGGTTTTTTAAAAATCAATAATGATTCTCTAATTTTCATGCACATGATGATTTTATGCTGTTGTCACAGTTTTCTCACTGTAATGTCCTGAGGATTCTGTTTAGGTTTAAGGTTTTGTGAATTTGTTGAAGGAAATGCAAATCAAATACAGGGAAATGGCAGAAACACTGACTCTTGAATCACTGAATCCTTGTCAGCGTTTTGCGTTGAATGAAAACCTGCAGACACGGATCTAGGTGAAACATGGCTGAAATGCTGTAGAGAAACCAGAACCGTGCTGTTATAAAATATGTCCAGGTCATTTCGTTTTTGCCAAGTCTCTCAAATGTCCTCACTGATGTTGAGTGCTGCCCAGTTTTCATATCTTCCACCTGATCACTGACAGTAATGCAGCTAGTCCCAGAAAAACAGGGGGCTGTTCAATTGGTTCATAAACTGTAATGACATGAAAATAAAAGCTGCAACATCCATTTTACATGTTGATCATATTGTTGCTTTACGTTTATGCTGCACATTTGCTGCTTGTCCAACAGTTATTTCACAGCCATTTTCATTACAGCAGGTTTGTACTTCAAAAAACATGGGAAATGATGTTTTTGCACTTTAGGAGTAATTATTTGTGAGTGAAGTTTACTGTGCATCATATGGACAAATACCAAACGGCATATCAGTTTGATTTAATGATTTTGGTATTTGTAACTGATTATCCACAGCAGACCTTTACTTTGAAGGAGGAGCATTCTGATTGTGTCTTGTTTAATAATTTGACTGATGCATTGTTCCACTAAATCAGAAATCACTGTGAGGGGAATGCAAATCCGCTCTTAAGGAAAACTATTTTAACATGCTCAATTTATGCACGTAAAATATTTTATTCTCTGCTTTCAATATCTCTCCTCCTTCTTCTAAGTGCTACTGCTGAGGCATTTGAGAAACCATTTCTTCCACTGTTAGTGTACATCTACCCAGGTCTTGTTATCTTCACCAGTAATATTTCTGCAGAACAAGTCATACACTTCATATTAAAGGTCATTTACATTATATTTCTCCTCACCAGGCTTAAACTAACCCTCAGGCCTATGGAGAACCAGAGTGTAGATACAAATATCCTGCTGCTGGAGGGTCTACAGGTCACCCCTCAGTCCTCCATTCCTGTCTTCATCCTCCTCCTCCTCATCTACATCTTCATCATGGTGTCAAACATCGGCCTTTTGATCCTGATCTCCATGGAGACGAGCCTCCACCAGCCCATGTACCTGCTCTTCTGTAACATGAGTGTTAACGACGTATTCGGGGCCACGGCCATCATTCCTCGCTTGCTGGGTGACATTTTCACTCTGCCTACAGAACGACACATTCACTACATCGAATGTGTCATTCAGGCCTTTTGTGCTCAATTTTATGCAGGTGTCTCTCACACAGCACTCATGATCATGGCCTTTGACCGGTACGTGGCCATCTGTAACCCCCTACGTTACACCACTATCATGACCAACAGGATGGTGGTGAAGCTGTCGGCGTTGGCCTGGGTGGTCATTTTTGTTATGGTGTCCATCCTGGTGGGCCTCAGCATGCGCCTGTCACGCTGCAGGCGGACTATTGCAGGCCCGTTCTGTGACAACGCCTCCTTGTTCAAGCTGTCCTGTGACAACATCCTCATCAACAACATCTACGGGCTTGGCTACACAGCCGTCCTGCTAGGCTTGTC